GAGAGAGAGAGAGAGAGAGAGAGAGAGAGAGAGAGAGAGAGAGAGGGAGAGAAGGAGAGATACAGGGCAGGCAGACAGACAGGCAGACAGATCAAAGAACTGGACGGTAGCGGTGCAAATTGATACATAGTCTAGACCTACTTTGGTCTACTACAGTACGTCTGTACGTCTGACCGCTGACCGCCAATCTACAACAGTGCTGCCCTGCCTATTCATCGTCAGCAGACTATTTCTACGAAAGAGTTGGCTCGTTGGCCCCAAGAGTAACAGCCCAAACTACGACACTCTATGTAAGTGTACTGAAGGAGCAAATGCACACACTCCACACTATGATCCACCATCGCCACCATCATCCATCTTTCAATCAACAAGTATCGACGATCCCAGTGGTATTCCACCGAGCAATCGCCACACCGGCGTCTCAGCTATTTCCCTTACAGTTGCCTGCAGCTGTAGCTCGAGTAGCTCGTGTACATTCTGCTGACGATCATGATCTTCCCAGTCGCCACATTAGGTGGTTCTTTTGGTTCTCCAAGCCACCAAAAGGGCCCGCGCAGACCTGGAGATCCAGTACGCAGGCAAGCACCGAACCAACTACGGGTCATGGTCGCGGGCGAGAGTGGGCTCGGAAAGATCAGTCCTCCGTAAATGGGTGTGAGGTTTGTTCTCTGTCAATGTGCGGGGAAACTTGGCCCCTGTTTATGGGGTGTGCCCCTCTCGTTGACGAAGGTCGCCAGCAACTGATGGCAAATGATCGGGATGTTCACACCATGTACGGATGCACTACAACCACAAGTAGCCTCGGGGTCCGGCAGATCCGAAATAAGGGGCCGCTGCAACTTCTTGAAAATGAAATGGAGTTAGAGTGCGATGCGATTTCTACGCGAATAGATGAATACCCCTAAGGGTGAGTGTAGGTTCGAAAACAACCTATGTCTCGCTGCCTGTGGCAGGCACGTATTCAGCACGTACACATGAAACAACATATGGAAGGAGCAACAAGTTCTTCTTTCCCACTTGCGCGAAACTGCGGAACGCGTGTCTCGCAACAACTCATCGGGGGATAGGTGTGGGGTGATGGCTCGGCGAAGATAGGGCGTAAATATTTTGCGCGGCTCTTTCCCTTCAACTCAAATGACCGCGTAGTGTGGTAATACTTTCAGTGCTAAAGAACATGTAACGACCACTCCCTCCACCCTTGCCAGCAAACCGTTGTGACGACTCGCCCCGTGCCACCAAATCTTTGCTTTGACCGGTACTGTTTTTCGTACGTTCAGACGACATTCCTGAACAACATGTTCCGGCATCTCAACCAATGGCAAAACCCCATGGACCAGGCTTCTGTCGTGCATGGGCAAACAGGAGGCATTTTCGGCCACAGCAAGACGCTCAAGATCGAAGAACGCGAATTTGACCACACGACATCCGACGGCCAGTACTACAAGTTCTTTTTGGTGGTGCGGTTGCCAATGCCGTGTATCACACTAATATCCATTGATTGTTGTCGGTATTGCGGCCTAGCAATCACGGATATTCATTTACCACGAGCACATGTATGTGTAGTCAAGCAAGTCCTCCTGCCGTAGAACAATGTCTTACGTGCTTCTGTCGGGGGTGGGTGTCGATGTCCGACGATACCCACTACCGACGACCCTCCTTTGTGGGACGTACAATAGTGCGCCATCTCGATGGCCTCCCTGCAACTAAGACGTCTCGAACTATGTCTGTATTGTACATCTTGGCAGGACACACCCGGATATGGCGACCACGTTAACGTTCGCAAAAATTTTCAACCAGTGGTCGATTTCATTACGAGAGGGAGCAGGAGGTATCTGGCTGAGATTAAAATGGGCAACGACACTCCGTCGGAGGACGGCAGGGCGGATGTTTGGTGAGTTGAGATCAGTGCACATTCGGTCCCTCCACCAGCTGAGCTGGTCAGCTTGCCAACTTCGATGCAAATTGGTTGAAAGGATGTGCAAAAAATAATTGATCATATGATACATGATGTTCAGCAGATTATTTCATCGATCTTAAACAACCCGCATAGCGACGTTTTCGCCTGAGCTGCAACCAAACGGTCGCATGCCCCTGGACCAGGCGATTGCACGAGCGTTTCTGACTCAACATTTGCCCCGATCGTGTTCCGCCGGACCTACAGCTTATATTTTATCGCAGCCCATCGGTGCAAGCCCATCGACATGGAATACATAAAGCAGCTCTCCAAGGTGCGGGACAGAGTATTGACAGTTCCACTATCGTGCGACATGATTGCCGAATCACCGCCAACACAAAAGTTAGATCGAAAAGCTGGATAGCTCGTCACGAGTTCGGGTTGTGCGCAGTGTGCTGCCGTCGCCTGATGGCCTGTCCTGGGCCTACCTGGTTGGCGACATTTTGTTGGGAAAGGCCTGACCTTGCTACGGTCGGTGTTCATCACCCAACGAGAGACGAAGTATATTGGTTCAGCGCTTCCCCGTCTCTGTTCATCCCCGATTTGCACAGGTTGTTGCTGTGATTCCCGTGATCGGGAAGTCCGACAGTATGACGGTCGACGAGATGATTGACTTCAAAAAGGCCATCGCCGACTCAGCCGCCCAGGCAAACGGCCTCGAATTCTTCAACTTTTCGGGTGGGTGGTGTTTCGGACGCATTGGGGCTTCCCTGGTGACACCACGAGCCAGCTCTCCAGCCCCCTTCGGAGGCTAGGGATTAGGTGCACCTTGTTGTAGGTTTCCTGTTTTTCCGCACATGTCACATGATGATTGACTAACAGCAGGAGTTAAATTAATCCCTGTTTCCGTTGCTAAATTATACTGTCGGGCAGAGCGGGCATGGGAAAAGTGCTTGGCAGCCCTGAACATTGCCGATGAACCCATCTGGCTGGGAGAGAGGCGGCCACCGCCGTACGCGGTGATTTCAAGCCAGGTCGACGACCCCAACGGAAAAGCTCACGCTCCTGATCCAGTACGCAGGTGGTATTTCTGTGTTCGAGCCCGTACATGTCTGGCCTGTGCAAACAATATTTGACTTTTGGCGTTCAACCTACAGTGCGCCGACTCCGAACATGTTGCGTTGGGTGGGTCACGGGCTCTCCTCCCAAGGCCCTCGAGGCTAACCAAAGTCCAACGCTTCATCTGATTTCCTGTCGCACCAACAACCCTCGTCTCACAGATACCCGTGGGGTGAGTGTCATGTTATGAGACCGGAGCACAGCGACAATACTTACCTTCAATGCCTCCTTCTGGAGGTGGGGTTCCAGGACATGAAGGACGAGATGAAGAAGCGCTATGAAGCCTTCAAAAAGCAAGAGGTTCGAGCAAGAAGCTGCAACTCGTCGACTTCCTCGGATTCGTGTGTGTTGCGGCAGCCCTTGGAGAGTTGCTGTATCGATAAATTTATTTGGGCATGAATGATCACCAACATATGCAGTGGGTGATTTGTCTGAAGCATGGGTGGCTCCTGTTGGAAATATTTTCTAGGTGTAATGACGTGTCGAACAAAGCTATTGCAGCGTGTCAACAAGGGGAGTCAACGTTTAATCTGTACGGTATACCACTATCAACGTACTGGACACTGGTTACGTCTGAACTAGCCTGTGGGTGTCGCTGTACTTGTCCTCCCCACTGGTTCCATGCCTCCTGTCACCGCATCACGATCGTACAGGCGAAGCTCCTGGTGACACGAATTGGAGAGAAAATTTGGGAGTATCGCCTTGCCATTGCCTCCGGCAAGCCGTCGATTATCTCGGTGGTGCTGGCGCTGATTTTCACTTTTGTGGCGGTGATTCTGGCAACCACTGAGGTACATGCGCTGCTAGAGATCCGCCCGTTTGCATGCCTTAAGTTCATCCTAGCTTGTGCTTCGTTTGATCATCCAGTAAAAAAAAGTGGCATAATGCAATGGTCGCAGTGGCATTTGGCTCCTCTATCGCGACTTTGAAATCGGTTGGAAACATGAAAGCCTGAAGACGTGACGATGCCGCTGTAATCACAACAATACCATATTCTCAGGTTAACTTAAACGAGCCTTCCACGGGCCTAGCTGATTGGAGCGAAGTAATTCTCAAGATTCAGCAGGTGAGGTGGTGTACTGCTTCTAGGGCCTTTCAATGCGTGGCATACACCAGAGGATGATTTCGCGAGAAGTTGACGTTGCAAGCCAACGATGGATAGGTCTTCCTTTCTTATCGTCCTTGGCGCTCAACAGCGCTTAACATAGGTTCGTGCGCCAGCTTCCGACCCAATATACTCTACACAGCTGTAAAGGGCGTTGAAACCCTTTTTGCGGTGGACATCTTGCCAGGTCAAAGGATCGGACCGAGTCGTGACAGCGGTGGACTCCGGGGAGGAAACCCTGGACGTCCTTATGGAGGTGCTGATGGACGACCGAAAAATGTGGACGGAAACCTCCGAGGAGGCCCAGGTCGGTCTGGCCATTTTTCCTCATAATATCATGGTACGCTTGCTGAACACGGAGAGGGGGGTCGCTTAGACAAGATACGATGGTCACGTCGCCTGCTTCTCCCAACAAGAAAGAAAAGGAGTGATTTCCGCGTTGTTCCCACCTTCACGATTCCTCCGTCATCCACCCGCCTCGTATCCACAGCGGGAAGCACCATCAGGTAGAAAAGCTGCCACCATCGGAAAGGACCCCGCCGCCAAGGGAACAGATCACCCCCAGGTTCCGGATGAACCAGCGACTCAGTCTACCGCCACACAAACGAGTGGCTCCGTCATGATGCCCGATGATGGATCTTCGCGAAACAGCCAATCTCTAAGGAAGACAGAGGAGGCCACCAGCTTCTCCTCCACAAGCAATCCCGCAATCGAATCCGATAAGCCGGTGAGCATCTACTACATCCTCGGGTATTCGGCACTCTCGGTTCTCCTTGCAACCTGTGGCCTTGTTGTTTGGGCAGTCGTGGCGTTCTTGAAAGTCGGTAGCCATGTGTTTGCTACCGCGTTCAAGTGTTCGTCACTCTTTCGTGAAGCACGAGGTTCGAACACGATTGCTGGACGCCCTCATGGAGTTGCAAATGGAGCGCTAGGAGATTTGCACGGAAACCCCCGAGGAGGCGCAGGTCGGTCTGACCACCTTTGCCAAGAGTATCATGGTACGCTTGTTGAACGTGGAGAGGGGGGGTGCCGAGACAAAATACGATGGTCACGTTCACCGGATACTCTCAACAAGCACGTTGAAATGAGTGGTTTCGGCGCTGTTCCCGCCTTCGTCGTTGCTCCGTCGTCTACCCGCCTCTTTGTCGTTCAGGATACATCATCACAAGGCGCAAAAGCTACAATTGAAGAAGGGGCCGCCACACAGGAAGCAGATCTTTCTGAATCAGCAGCTTGGTCTGCCGGCACACAACCGAGAGGCTTCACCACTACCCCCAACGGTGTTCCTCCGCAAACGGACTTGTCGGAGACAATTAACCTAGTTGACCGTACCGATCCCCCTGAATTGGACTTGTCGGGGATAATTAACCGTTTGTTTGCTGCTGTGCAACTCTCGGCTGCCGTTAGCTTGTGTGGGTGTGTTCTGTGGGGAGTAAGAAGTCTGAAATAAATGTTGATTGCCGCCTTGTGGTATATTTTGTCGGTGCTCCGGTGAAGCATGACGCGCAGGAATATTGCCACCTAGTAGTCGTTCACGGTCGTCGTATTCCTATTTTTCGTCTTCGGATGACAAGTGGCACGTTGCTAGCCAGGATATGTAAATGTAAATGTAGCGTGAGGTAGCCCGTATTCCGAGCGTTTTTGTTCGTGATGTGCGAAGCGCCCTTGCGGGCAGCAAAACCTTGCTAAGAACAGTAAGACTGAATGTAATGGTGGTGCAGGAGAAGAAGAAGTATTGATGTGCTGAATTTAGTATGGAGTATTTACTATACTTCACATGTTCGTGTGGGCGAAGACTCGCTAGAGCTGATGGCAAACGTGATAGGGATGTATTTCCTTCTGCAGTTTGGCCTCGTACAGCCCCGGCGTACTCTGGATCAAAATGAAGAGGCCCGCGTCAACTACTTGTAGGCTTATTTTCCATTTTCCAGGCTCTTTTGTTTAGCCCAGACACGGAATAGAGAGCGTACCACGTTGTCCCGAGGTAAATGAGTGTGCGTTCGAAGCAACAACGGTGTATAGTGCTGACGTGGCCGGCACATACACATGAGAACAACCGCAAGAAGGAGCGAACAAAGTTTTGGTTCACCATTCTCGTGCAATCCACTGCAGACCACGTGTTGTTGTTGTTGTTGTTGTTGTTTCTCATATTAGCTCTATAGTCCACAAAAAATGGGGAGCCTGTGGTCTCGAAACCCGGCACATACGACGCCGCGGGGAAACAAAACAAAAATAGGGTACAAACCACTCGGAAAACGAAAACAAAATGATAGAAAGAAAAAAACAGGTATCGCACCGACCGTTCGAGAAAAGAGCCCTCGGAAACCGATCAAAATAAAACAAAAACCCTACCCCATATGGATTTCGTGCGGGGACGACAGCAACAACGGGAGACCGCTCCCTCGCAAAAACACCGTCACCATTTATGCTATTGTTAACCTGACAAACGGTGTGAAAAATGTGGGACGCACTGTAGATAGCCCGTATGCACGCTTTGCGGGACATCTTGGAACCGGGGATAGACTGGGTAGAGTACTTGATCTTGACTGGACCCAGTTCGCCGTGTTTGAGCTGGAGACCCTACCGCGATACCTACCTGAGGGCCACAAACCTGGTACTCTGATTCACTGGCGACAGAAAGAGAACTTCTGGATTGCGCGCATGGATGATGTCAAGAACGGTTACAACACCAAGAGGGAGATCGCCTGCCCCCCAAACCCTGGTCTACCCACGCATGGTTTTGGTTTGCGACCGATTAAACGGTCTAGACATGAAGCACGTAAGACGCAAGCAAACGGCGGTACCCAAAAACGCATGTACGGNACCTGAGGGCCACAAACCTGGTACTCTGATTCACTGGCGACAGAAAGAGAACTTCTGGATTGCGCGCATGGATGATGTCAAGAACGGTTACAACACCAAGAGGGAGATCGCCTGCCCCCCAAACCCTGGTCTACCCACGCATGGTTTTGGTTTGCGACCGATTAAACGGTCTAGACATGAAGCACGTAAGACGCAAGCAAACGGCGGTACCCAAAAACGCATGTACGGATCACGTGACTGGAAACGACGACTTCAGTATCTTACTAAGCTCATCAAGTTTAAGCCGCGGCGGTACCGTGCGGCACAGTCCACATCGACCTCACGGGCCCGTTCTCTGACGCGCTGGACGGCTCCCGGTACCTGATCATGTTCGTGGACAGCGCATCGCGGTGGCAACGGGGGTACGGGATGCGGGCAAAGAGCGACACCCTGAAAATCGTGCAGCGGTTCCTCGCCGACATGAACGGCATGGGCACTCCGGGGTGTTTCCGCATGGACAACGGCGGCGAGTTCACTGGCTCCGCATTCACCTCGTTCTGCGACGCTGCTGGCATTCGGCGCGAGTACACCGCCCCCGACACCCCCAAGCAAAACGCGGTGGTCGAGAGCGCCATATGGCGCGCCATGAAGGGGGGCCACGCCGCGCGCCGCCACATCCTCGCCATGGGCCACGTCGACCTCTCCTCCATCCCCAACGTCGGCGTCAGCGGACATCGCCTGTGGCTCGCGTCGGCGCTGTGGGCATCCGCCTGCTTCAACCGCTCCGCGACGAAGGCCAACCTGGGCTGGATGTCGCCGTTTGAGGCGTTCTTCGGCTGGAAGCCGCCCCTCACCGTCGTCCCTTTTTTCCAGGAAGGGATGATGCGCGTGAAGCGGGCCACGCAGGCTGACGTCCAATCTGCGCGGTGCTTCTTCCTGCACGGTGCCAACAACCACTCGACGTCTACCGCCGTCGTTCTTCGCGCTGACACCGGTCGCCTCGCCCTCACCAACAACGTCGTGTGGGTCAACCGCCGGGCAGGGGCGCCGGCGCAGGTGCCGGGCATCGGGGGGAGTCTTCGGTCACCGCGTCGCCCTCGCCGGCCACCGCCGTACCTGCGGCCGATGCCGCACCGCTGCCGCCCCCGCCATCAAGGACGTACACCTACATCCCGCCTGCACCAGCGACCACCNGATCACGAACTCCAACTCGAAGCACATCGATGTACGCCATCACTTTATCAGGGAGCTGGTAGAGAGGAAAGACATTTCAATTACTCATGTGCCGACGCAATTTCAGCATGCAGATTTCTTGACGAAGGCTATTAGCAAGGAGTCTTTTGCGTTGCACCGTGACTTTGTGATGAACTTGCAGTGAAGAAAGTGTTTTGGGGTCGATTCGTATTCTGTAGCGGAGAGAGAAGGAGAGAGCGAGATTGGACAAGAGAAAGAGAGAGTCTGATGAAGGTGGTAAGGGTGTTGGAGGTGTGTTCAGATTTTCTTGTTTGTTTTGGAGGAGTTTTGGTTGTGTTGGAATTTTTCTTGTGATCGACTTGGGAGGTTCTTGCATGTTTTGGGAAGGATATTGGATTTGGATGCTTTGAGAATTTTCTTGTTTGTTTTGGAGAGATGGTAAAAGAGGAATTTGGTTTTTGCCGAAGCATAAGGAGCATACGAGCAGGGGGGCTATTCGATACATTGGGGGTACTCGTAGCATAGTATGACGGGTAAGATCTTCAGTACGTACGTACGGAAATCGCAGTGATGAGATGCGGAAGAATCAGAGAGATCCGTTTGGTAGTTTGAGCGTGATGAGCGTGACGCGTGCTTGATGCCGTGACAGATTTACGAGCACGAGCACGCCCCCGAAGAATACAACACGTTTTCCTATACGTCCCCCCCCTACCACGGCCCGTCATGGCCCATCTGCTCTACACTCCCAACACACAGAACTGAGCCACCCGAATCATCGATCAGAAGCTCTCCATTGCGATCTACGAGGTGATGAAGATCAAGAAGGTCACCACCAGCTCCTACCACCCACAGACCAACGGCGGCACGGATCGCGTCAACCACACGATGGCCCAGATGCTTGCGGTGGTCGTCAACGAACAGCAAAACGAGTGGGACGTACATCTCCCGCACGTTGAGTTTGCCTACAACAATTCCGTGAACCAGTCTACTGGATTAGCGCCAAACGAGATCCACATCGGACGCATCCCGCGACTCCCTCTTTCGGTCTTCGATCATCCCACGGTAGGCGGTCATCAAAGCTTGGCCCGCGATCAACTCGAGTATTGCAACCTGGCTGTCGATCGCCAGCGCCGGGCCTACGAACTTGTCCGTGAGTACAACGCGCTGAAGATTTCGCGAGTCGAACGCCGAAATTCATCCCTGCTGGACGCCATCCACAAGCTCCCTCAGTTTACCGTTGGCGGGTGGGCTTGGGTGTACAACACGGCTGCTACGATTCGACAGGGTGTGAAGAAGGACACGGACCAACAGGTGCTCAAGGCCAAATTCGCACTTTCCTGGACGGGGCCCTACAAAGTTCTTGCGGTGTGTCCCGCTTCTTCCGACGCCACTCCGGACGGCAGCCCGTTGGCGCATAAACTCCTCTACCTGGACCTACCTTCCGATCTTACCGGCCCAGCAGCTCGATGTCGCGTGTCTGTCCTTCGTTGCAAGCCCCTGTCGCAATCCGTACGAGACGGACGACTTGCCGCAATCTCTACCCGCCGAGCTTTCGCGTTATGTTCTGCACCCTTTNGTTCTCGCTGTCCTGCACCAGACGCATTGGGTAGGCCTGACTACTCCTTCATGGGAACGGGAGTCCGACCTTGATCTATTCCGTCGACACATCCTCTTGTACTGGTCCCGGGAGGTCTGCCAAAGCAAGCAGGGAAACCGTACATATCGAGTGGCTCGGACTCGCGCGGCACAGCGAGAGCTAGCCCCGAATCGTGGAGAACGCTATTTGCCTCCTGGGGCTGATCTTGTGCTCCACGCGACTTGGCTTCGTCGTTTCAGCAAATCGCCCCTCCCTGTTGGCGCGCGGCTGTGGTAAAAGGCCCGTGATGGATTGTGGTGGATCGGACGTATTGGTGCTCATCAGGGCGGCTCGTATATCGTTCGATTTTTGGATGACCCGGGCCCAAGCGTTCTCCCTCTGCCTGCGCGCCTCTACTCAACCGCCTTGGACGCCGTCTGTGGATCATGGTGTTTAGAGAAACATCGTTCGCGCCCTCCGGGCGACAACCGTGGTCGCACTCCGCTCCTTGCTAACTCCTTACCGTCGGCTGTTCCCATCGTTTCTTCTTAGCGTCGTCGTTTCCATACACCAGTTGGCCTATTTTGGTCTTTTGTGCCATCCTTCTCGCCGATGTTTTGATTTTTTTTTTTTCTTTCACCTTGTGCTTTGTTTTGTATTTTTTTGTTTTTTCTGTCCCGTCTCTTTTCTTTTGTTGGCTTATTTCTTTGTTTTTGGACGCTGGGGCAAGCCACCTCAAAGCACGCAGTGTCGAGTGATCCTTCTTCCTTGTTGCCTGCATTCGTCTGAATCAGTGAACTGCCGCGACCTGGATGTCCTTTCTCTCTCGCCTTTGCTTATTTGGTTGCTGTTGTTGGTCTTTGGTTCTCTCGACAGGCTCCCCCCGAAGTTTCGTCGGTGGTGTTTGCCTCTGAACACTTGGAAAAAGAGATCCCCAAGTTCGTCGGTGTTGTTGGCCTCAGGACACTTGGACACCGAGTTCCCCGCGTTTTCCTGGTTCGCCTGTTTGCCAACTAATCTTAATTGTGGAAAAGAGGGTTTCGTCCTCGACAGACGTTAGGGAGTTTCAACCTTTGTGAAGGTGGTCTCCACATTACCCCCCCCTTTTTCGAGGCTTCTTGTTTGCTAGGCAAGAGAAGTCTTCTTGAGGTAACCGCAACCCGACCGGCTGGCGGCGAGTAGAACCACCTTTTTCCAACAATCTTCTGTGCGTGTGTGCGGATGCGCCACTTCCGCCACGCATTGCCAGAAGTTTCTAGTTCGATAGACAGTACATCGTTTCTCGGTCCGCCCACCGTTTTTCTTTTTTCCGTACTCCGGAAGAAAATTAGGTGATGAGCAGCGGGTTTTGAAACCGTGTCTTTTGCAACCAAAAGCAAACACGCTGACATCTCTTCGTCGACGCCATTGTGGAAAAGAGGATTTCGTCCTCTACAGCCTCCTAAGGGCCAGGTCATGGGTTCGAGTCCCGGCAGAGAGAGTTTTTTTCTCACTACATAAATCCTGGTCTAGGATGAAAGCGACGCGCTGCAAAGCTCGTTTGTTAGTAAACCATAATCGACTTCGTAAGTCGCGAGGGAAGGGATTGCTGTACCCTTCTCGCGATAAAAATACCTCAGGCATGAACCGCAGGAGGGGGTCCAACCCCCCCCTCCTATGTGACCCCGGTTGGGTCGTCTAGCTAGTAGAAGTGGAGGATAGGGGCCAGAGGGGCAGACGAATGATGGGAGAAAAAACAAAAAACAAAAACAAAACAGATGCTGGGGAGTTTCAACCTTTATGAAGGTGGTCTCCACATCATCTATTTTTTTTTAGTGTCGTATACGCTTGGTGCTTCGGGATTCCATCCCGTGGCGTCGCCTTCTCCCATGGATTTTCGTCGTCACCCACACTTCGTTCTGCTTCGTCTCCATCATCGCCACCTTCGGGCGACGCCTTCATCACAGTCGCGCCCCTGAGTCGTCGTCTTGTGTGTATTTCTACGACTTTTCTGTGTTTTATGTCTTTGTATGATGCATATCGCCAGCGAGCCATGGCGCAGTTCGTCGACCGCCTCCCTTGCATTAATCGTTTGTGCTTTGCATCCTTGGTCCTCATTAGATGTTGCCCTTGCCGTCTCCTTATACGAGTTGGGTACCCTGGCACGCTGGTAATCGTTCTCCGTGCCTTTGCCTGTCGTTCTTTTCGCCTGCCCTTCGTTGTCGTTGTCCTAGATTGCGTTGATTTTTCCCGTTGCGTCGCGTCCAGTATCAAAGGCCGTATTCGTTCGGAAATTTGTTTGTTTTTTGAGTTTCGTCACCGTATTTGGACTCTCTCGGATAGTCACCCTCATTTTCCTCCAGTGGTGATACGCGCGGGTGCGCGTAAAAGAGTGGTGTGTGGCGTTGGACATTGATTTTGTTTCCTCTGTCATTGTCTATTCAGGATGACAGCGTGCTCTGCAGCAATATATATATTCTTCGTAGCTTTATCCCTTCAAGCGTTGCCATTAAGATGTCGATGTTCCGTCTCGTGACCGTTCGCATTCATTTATTCTTCATCTTAATGATGTTTTTTTTTGTTTGGTTGTTTCTCTCCCATCATTGGACTCTGCCGTCTGCCCCTCTGGCTCCTATCCTCCACTTCTACTGGCTAGACGACCCAACCGGGGTCACATAGGAGGCTGGCTCCTATCCTCCACTTCTACTGGCTAGACGACCCAACCGGGGTCACATAGGAGGGGGGGGTTGGACCCCCTCCTGCGGTTCATGCCTGAGGTATTTCGATCGCGAGAAGGGTACAGCAATCCCTTCCCTCGCCACTTACGAAGTCGATTATTGTTTACTAACAAACGAGCTTTGCAGCGCGTCGCTTTCATCCTAGACCAGGCTTTATTTAGTGAGAAGAAAACTCTCTCTGCCGGGACTCGAACCCATGACCTGGCCCTTAGCAGGCTGCGAGGCTATCCACTTGACCACCGGGTAAGGGTTGATTCGGCATATTTCTACACTCACCCTCCTTTTGGATGTTTTGTGAAACGTTATATCTTCGATTCATGATCATAGATACATCATCAGCTAAAAAATCTTACTGTGGCTTTAGGATTTGAGCATTGATTTGGGTATAGAATCTGCATACATGATATTCAGGGTGGGCTAGTGTTAAGGAGTGTGGCTGCTAGCATGAACAGGGTACATCATATTGTTGATTGGATGCGGGTCGGTCAGGAGGTATTCCCTTCTGACTCCTACCCCCTTAGAATTGTCTACTCTGTGTACCCAATGAGATGAAGTTGGATCCCCACTTCATCTCAGACCTTTGCTGATCGTCTCTCAGCAATAACAAGCGACTTTTCCATCTCAATGTGGTCATGGACAAGCATGTCAACGACGAAACCTTCATCTACCTCTAAGAGCAAGCTACCGCCCACGGCTTCACCCCAGTTGAGCAGTTGAGGGTAAATTCTGTGGGTGTAGAGTGTTCAGGAGGACCCGATTCACAGGGTATCCGTCGATTGAATTTTACCTGCATCGGTACACCTTCGCATTGCATGTAGCACCGGTGAAAAAAGGGTGTTTGCCCGACACGAGATAAGGTGCCCCAAGCCTTATATACTGACATGTGGTGCCCACACCGGCGGTGGATTTTATTGTAGGTGTGCCGCGTGTTCTCAGCTAGATATTAACAGACTGCTGTCCGTATGTGGCATGTTTGTGTTGTGGGTGGTGCCCCCACCCTAACTGAAGTAACTACTTCCAAGGGCCCACGTGCATCGTGTATCCTCACGTGCACACGGTAACGCATATTATATGCCTGAAATACACACAACACACACCCTCAAATGCAGGTCAGGTAGATCTAGTCTAGACTAATGCTGCTGTAGGAAGGAATTGAACCAGAGGGTTAGTTTTGTAATTAGTCTAATTGTTGTTGTGGTAGGCCGAAGCTGGCTGTTGTGCTTTGAGTTTCGAACACGCATGCATGCACATCTCACGGAACTGCAATTTGTTTGTCGACGCTGTACAGCAGTTGTACTGCTGCAGTGGTGAAGGTGCTGCCGTGGCCTACACTCTAGACTATACCGTGTGGTGAACGGTAGAGAGTTTACGTACGTTTGTTGTGCGGCATAGATAATTAATATCCCTGCCTGTTTTCACAGGTCAAGGAAGGGTAGATAGATCAAGCTTTAGTCATACCACTAATAACAGTCTGTGCACATTTCGTGGATACCACAAGCATTTAGTGTAATATTTCCTGGAATTTAGTCAGAAGTTAGCCAGTAAAGAGTGACAGGGTGACCTTTTCGTGGAATTCTTAGTTGGTCTGCATGATCAATAGTCCGAGGCAAGGTTGCAAGGACAGGTCTGCTGCTTTAGGAAGGAATTTGGACGGGGTTGTTGCTGTTACTGTTGTACGCCACAGCCCTTTTTTTATTAAAGCACTCACTTGTGGTTTGAGTTTTCGAACATGCGTTGCATGCACATCTCACGGAACTGCAGAGCGGTGGTTAGCCCTTTGACGAGAAAATAAAGTTTGTTAGATATACTCGCAGCAGTATCTGGTCGTGAGGATCCCAGGGGATACGTGTTGGGAGTTTCGTGTGTAGTAGGGTACCACCGGTGCAGTCACGGGGATCCTTTTGGGGTGGTTGGTGCGATGGAGCTTGCGTGCGTGCTGCGCACTTCTTCCCTCTCTCTCCACCATCACCACCGTCTCTCTCCAATCAAGTTTCCTTCTCCCACTCTCTCTCCAACTCTCTCTCAAACTCTCTCTCTCGGCCTAAGACGGCCGACTACCCAGTGCCCCAAAGTAACGTCCAGAACGTGCTTGCTGCACCCCGCGTAGTTTACCTTTAACACTAATGCGATATCACGGTATCTGCGCGCGGGCGTAGCCTTCCGGGGGTTGTGCAGCCACGCGCAATCGGTAGACTCCCACAACAACATACACCATGGAGGGCATCGACCTCTCCGCCCTTAGCGGGGAAGAGCTACAGCAAAAAGTGGAGGAGATCGTCCAGCAACGAGTGCAAGCCGAACTCGAAGCCAACAGGATAAACGAGGGTGAAGTCACCTACGCCCCACCACCTGCCGGCAACCCGGTCCCACCTACCGGCAGCCAGCCATCACCCTCCAGCCAGGGTAAAACACCTTCCTTCAACGACCCCAGCAGCGTCGCACACATCGTGGCGCAAGCGGCCAAGGCGACAGCTGAGGCCATCGCTGAACAACAGGGCTTTGCCCGCTCAGGCACGTTACGTGT